CAAGGTGGACAAACACCAATTTCACTTGTCCTTAATGCCCTGGGTCGCAGTTTATAGCAATGCAGTAGCTGCAGTGGAGAGCTGAGCCATCCTTATGGCAGAGGCAAACCTCTCTTGCTGCCTTACTGTAAATCAATCCCACTCATCCATCAGAGCTTTCAGTAGGCGATTCTTGTGTGTGACTGGAGCTGTCTGAATGGTGGTGCAGTAATGTTGTAAACCATCTCTCTTCCCTGAGGCACTTGTATAATATTCAGTGAAAGTTTGTTCTGTGCCATTGGTATGTTTTGCAGTGGGTTCAGTGGTTAAACAACCAAATGGTAGTTAAGAAGTTCACTGTTTGAGCTAAACACCTTCACTGGTGGTGTCTTTCTGACCATGTTCCTATATGTCCCTGTACTTTTTGAATTAGGATATGGTGACAAGATATCTTGTCATCATTAATGTTGCACAAACTAATGCTGATGCCTCTCTTCCTCATCCTCCCCTTTATTAAAGTTTGGGATTTTGGTACCTTCTGGCATATTTAAATTGGGAAGAATGCTGAATTAGGACAGGCTGTCCCTTGTGATTTTGCATAAATGATTGCATCAGGCAGTGTTGACTCCAAAGGAATTTGTAGAAATTTATTTCCAGAAAGCAGCTGAGTTACCAGCCTACAAAGGACTGATCAATAGCAAGTGGCTTCAGCTATCACAGTGCTTTTAATTTGGTAAATTGTGCTTTTGTCGTGCAACATCAAGGGATTCTTCTGGCTTGAGGAACCTGAAGAAAGGGAATATTGACTTTTGAGTGCTTAAAATCTGGGATGCTTTACTTTCAGTTTGTCTACAGCATCTCTGGATAGACAGAACAAACTGTTAAAAAGATTATTAAGGCAATGCTGTGCAGGAACATTTTAGTGCAGCAATTTAGTCATGTATGTCTGGCCATATTAATGGGAATCCTACTGCTACATCCCTGTGCACCCTGCTAAATAATTTGCCTAATGATTTCAGTTAAGCATGGAAAACAAGCACCATCTGAAACTGTTTGCTTGACATATTATGTTTGATGCATGGGAGCTGGAGAGAAAATACAGCGCTGCAATGTGAGTACCTCAGTTCCCTGTACTGTGAGGGGAGGAGACTGGTATTAGAATAAAGATGACCTGAGACATCAGTGCTTATTATGATGGATGCAAAGCCTGTACTATGAGTCCAGCTTGTATCCTGCTGCTAGGAGTGCACCTTTCTGGCCGTAGGTCTCAAAAGTCCAGTTGGGCAACTCTTGACTGAGTTGGGCTCCTGGCTTCAAATAATTTGCAAAGAATTTGGCATCAGGTTAAATTTGGACACAAACTGCTACTTCTATAGTGAATTTTTCTCATGTCCTCCCTTTAAGTGAGATTTCAGCTTTGGTGTATGCAGTTTTGGTACTTCCCATCTGCTTTTGGAAAAAATTTTTAAAGGTGAAGTCTGATCAGTTACCTTCCCTTGTGGTACAGTTCCATTCAGATAATAATAGGTTACACAGCAGATAGTTCCTGACAGACTGTCCATATCATATTGTCTGTTTCAGATAATAACTAATTCCTTCTGTTATTATATATAGCAACACATTGAATTATTAAAGAAGACATAATAGGAGACTTTCTTACCTTCCCCATATTCAACTGAATTTCCTATTCTTCAGGTATTTGTGGCAGAGCCAGCCCCAAAGCAGAAGTCAGAGCAGACTGTGGACTATGCACTAATGCACTAATGATGCATCTCTGAGTCCAGTAGAATGATGAATATCCTCCTACCATATCTAGAAAAGGCTCACTGTCTGTTAAATAGTGTGGTATTAATTGTGTTACAACTCAGACATCAGCAAAGCTCCTACACATCCCTGGCTGAAAGCTGCCTGTCATGTACCTTCCCACGTGTATTGTGTTTGGACTGCAGTGAATAAAGCTGTGTATGCTCAAGTGTTCAGCAAAGGGGAGCTGGGCTTCACGAGTCACTGGACTGCTTAGGAAATACTTCAGAGAAATGTGCTAGCAGCACATGTGCTGCTAGAAATAAAGCTTTGGGTACTCAAGTCACAGTCCTGTCCCTGAGCTCAGTTGGAAATACTGTGCTGAGTGTGATGACAGAGAACCTAATGCTGAAGTGCCATCACACACAAGTGATGAAACAACCCCGAAATACTTTGGGACATATTTTTACAAGCAGCAGCATATCAGCTCTTATGTGCTCATCAAATTCCAAATCAAGTAATTAGCTTGCAATTTCAAATGGCAGTGTTATTGTTTGCTTCATTACCTCCTGCACTTGCTAATGCTGTTTGTGCAGGATGGTCACTATTTCTCCAGCTTAGCAGCAGGTACATTTTAGCAATGAGAAAAGGAGCAATTATCAGCCTCCACAGCACCTTGGTTCTCTTCGCGATGAATGGTGCAATACAAATGTAGAGGATTATTTAAAAACGCATTGCAAACACTTCTAGCGTATTAGCCATAATAATAGCCTGCCTGTTTGAGCTGGCAATGATCCAATTCCTTCGTCAAGATGCACTACCTGGTGCATGTGTTCATAGACCAACTGACTAGCTCATAAAATAGCAGGATGGCAAAAGCATCAGGAAAAACAATGATGTGTGTTTATGTTGCTGTAAGTTATGGATGTGTAATAAACAGGGGACAGGAAGTTCCTGAGCCAGTAAGGATAAAGGCAAGGGTTTTACAACGGCTATAAATTCTGAAATGTGTGTTTAAGACTGGATGATCTTTAGCTGCTTATCCTGATTTTTGTGTACCGGACTGATGATAGTAAATGTGAACTAGGTAATTTACAAATTGGAAAGTGTAGCAAAGCGATGTTTTGAGTTCACTGAGCAAAGGAAGATGATGTAGAATGTTTCAAACCCGAAGTAAAAATATAAGGGCCTCCATAAGACTGCAAATAAGGCACAGGTCTGAATTCATTTTACATGTAGTTTGTTTGAAATCTGAGGTGATATCAAGAGAAAAGTTCATTTGTATTATTGTGGATATGTTGTTTAAATATAACAGAGGTAGTTTCTATGAGACTTAGTTTTTAAACTAGTGCTTATTAACACATCTGCAGCCATTCTACAAAGTATGTATCCAAGGGCAGATGGAGGCATGGCACAGTGCTGGCACTGACAACAGCAGATACGTCATCTAATTAGCATATCTGATATATATGTTAATGTTGATAATACTCATTGGTATTACCCAGATAACTTCCTGAACAAATGATTTCTGGGAATCTATGCAACTTGTTGAATGTTTAGACTTTATTTTTCAATCCAACATTTGTGTGACATTAAAAAAACCTCCCTGGAAGGATTTACTGGATACCACTGTCAGTGATTACTGACAAGTTTGGGTGTTGGTATGCTGTATGTGATCAAGGCTGGCAGAACTTCTACAAATGTGGTTTATATTGGGCTGCAAAACTCAGCTCAGTTCTGGAGCAGAGTGTCTTAGACTTAAGTGCAAAACTTCATAAAGCATCTCCATAAAGGTACCGTGAATTCTTCACCCTCTCCGTTGCTGATTCAGAATTAAGCATGGAAGAGGGGCTAGGTGGTTCTCCATCACCTTGCCAGCTACTCAGGTGGGTCTGACAACTGAGCAAGTCTCAACTCCCAAATTTTCCTCAGTTCCTGCTCCTTTGTTCCTAAAGGAAAGCCTGGAGAGAATAAGATCAGTAACTGATCCTGATATCTACATCTAGTTAAGAGATGTATCGGGCATAGACCTAATCAGCCAAGCCTTAGGGCACCTCTGTGCAGAGGACGCTTCTCATCTTTTCAGTCTCCACGGGGGGCTCAGTCATTCACCTTCTGTGAACTACAGAGTTTCTTCCTTTACAAATAGTGTCACTGGAGAAGAAAGTGTTACTCAACATGAGTAAATGTGACAGCAGCTGGGTCTAAAGTTAAGTCTAATCTGCTCTGAAGTGGGAACTGAAGTAGGCCTAACCCTGCTGGATGAGTCAGTGGCAGAATCAGGGCAAGAACAAGAATCCCTTATTACCAGCTGTGCGATATAAACACATGCCTTCCCTTGCTGGCTTCCCAACCATCCATTAACGCAGCGGTAGCAGTTAGATTCAGTTCATTTTTTTTTTCCTTGGGATCAACTTTCACCTATTTTTGAGGTAGGCAGGAATCTGTCCTCCCCTCACTCCTCATCAGCTTTATCTGCTCCCATAAAACACCAGGAGTATCGGGCTCCTCGTGTTTGCCAGCATTAAACAAAACTTGCTGGCAGATACAAAACACTTCATGTTTGCTTGGTTGCCCCATACCTGTTAACTGGGTACAGCTCTTACAATTCATTCTTCATGGGACACTGCAGCCCCATAAAAGCTGTGAGTCAGGCTTCCAAGAAAAGTCATGCATGACTTAAAATCACGAGGATGATCAAAAACAATAAAATGCATATTTTCAGCTTGCCTTTGGGTTTTCTAAGGCTGTGAGGCACACCCATTTCAGGTCTTCAAGCTCTTCTTTGCAACCATTAAGGCTGGAAATTCAGGGCATTCATTTTTCATGAGCTACACACAATTTCCTGTTTTCAGGAAAACAGGGAATATTGTAAGACCTAATGGCCAGAACTGTCAACACTGGTGCTGTCACTGAACATAACTTGGTAAAACTAAATGTGTGATTTCTTTCCTTTTCCATCCAGAATGAGGGTTTTGCTTTTCCCATCAGCACAATGACTTAGTGTTTGGATACGTCAATCTATTTGAGAAAGTATAGATTGCTTTTGCTGAGAATTATTAAAAATTGTATCACTGGCTTGGTGTTGGATGAAAGTCAGAGAGGGGTGGACTGTCCCCTGAGATGGCATTTTCAGCCTACTGTCACCAATTTGTCTTGGGCTTGGTGTATTCATTTAATCTCTTTACCTTCACACTGCTTAATGCAGTTAGACTGAATATCATTCTGAATTTTCTTCTCTTTATTTCTCTTCTCAAAGCAAATTTTGAGTGTAACAGCTCAAGGCTGGATTGGGCATACCCCATCTTCTGGACCTTCAGACCAAGCACTTTGCTGGCAGCCGTGTCCCTTGGGTAAATGGGATTCTGCAAAATGACAGTGCAGCTTGTGTGGGCAGGGGACAGGCCACGTCCCAAAGTAAGTAATTAATTCCCTCAGGGCCTCATGGCTGTCACAAACATCACCATCTTCTGCTTCCTGTGCTAGATGCAATTCCTAGAGCTTGTGTTCTTGGATACAAAGGGAGTACTAATAGTACCTGCCAAGACATGCCGTCTTTCCCTTGGAAAAAAAAAAAAGATGAGAAAACAAACTACATATGATAGATGTTAGTCATGTTGCTTATTGCACTGTTGGCATAATCTCCCCCTGGGGCTCCTATACTCACATCCAGGATTTGGGGATGAGTCAGGTGTATTGCATATGTACTTATGGATGATCTGAGCATACACAGAACATAATGGGAATTTCATGATGTCCCAACTTGCTTTTGCTTCCCTCTGTGCCACAAGATGTCTGTAAATCCTAGACAGAGTTCTTCTCTGAGACAAGGTTGCTGGATGGAAAAAAACAGTATACCTCCAAGGAACTGCATGTGTGGGAGCATCAGTCAGTTTGCTATAATTGAATACACTAATGATGCTAAATCTTATGACATTACTGCTGGCCATGTGACCTTGGTGGTGATTTCCTGAAACCTCTAGATTCTGGAGTCATGTTAACACTCAAGGATCTCTATTAAACAAAGATTGCAGCCTCCACATTTGTAAGATAAAGCTGTTTCCTGTGATTCCGCAGCATATCAAAAAGTGAAGGCAAGTAAGAACACACTGAACCTGTATTTTGAAAACCAAAAGTCTTTAAACCCATCACATGGCTTTGGGGGACCTGAACATTTATTTCTGAACAGCTTGCTGTGGCAACTTGATAATTTTCCTTTAATAGTTATGTCTGTTCTTGTGCAGCTTGGCTTCCTACACCTTCTCTAATAAAACTATCAATGTTTTGTGTATATTAAACTGCTTTATTTTTACTTAGAGTTCCTGAAGTCACTGACAGGCAAGATAGTGTTGTATGCAAGGCAATTATTTAGGCATTACAAGATTAAAACACAGAATATATTTCCTTGGGAAATAAAGGTTTCAGACAGTTTTTTCTATGTATAGAACAGGGATAAAAGCTTAAATGCTGCCTGTTCTGGTTCCCTACTTCTAGTAAAAGAAAGGTTGGGGTTTTTCTTTCTTTCTTTTCTTTTCTTTCTTTCCTGAAAGCAGAAAGATTGTTTAAAAACAAGGATCCAAAACTGGAAGGATATAAAAAAAGGCATGGAGCTATTGTAATGGAGGATGTTTCTTAGGCCTTAGTGGTAGTGTCTCACTTCCATGAGGCAGGAAAAATACAACAACATAGCAAGGAATAAAGTATTAAATGCTGCTGAGACTTTTATAAGGACATTTTTATAGTTCTTTCAGGTGCAGTGGCATTCTTTTAATTATGGACATGACAAAGAATGCTGTAATGCCGAAATGTTGATTCTCTGGTATACATAAGACAATAAAGGTAACAGCCAGGGAAAGGAACTCAGCAGCAGAAATAGTGAACGTTGTTTGTTCTGATCTTTCCATAGTTATGCTGCTAACAGGTGGAAATAACTTTAAAGGATATAAAACCCACTCATACAAATACCACTTGATTTAGCCATCAAATGAATTTGAAGTACTGGTGTCTTCCCAGATGCTGGCACTCTCCAGTGTTTCCCATTTTGTGTTATTCAATTTAATATACCTAATGCTGTAAGGAGTAACATGACCAGCCATCATGGTTGCCAGCCCCTGTCTTTTTCTATCTTTGTCACTATGTACTTAGACTCTTCACCACCAAGGGCCCCTATGCTGGTGCAGCCCCTGCACATCTGGTAACTCCTCTGCTTTGCTGAACAATGGAAGTTTTATCACCCCATTTTTCACAGGAGCTGACCCATTAGAAATTGTACTCCCAAGGGCTTACCAGGAGCTCATTCATGGGGAGAAGAAGCAGTCATACAATGAAGTATCTTCTACAAGTGTTGCCAATGGGAAATCAAACAACATTTTTTGTTTTTTTTTTTTGCAATGAAACAATTTGTCTACTGAGCATTGATACTTGCCTCTACACTAAACCTGCTCCCTCCGTGCTGTTTAGAGACTGCACCTGAGAATGCCTGACTTCTGCCATGCCCTCAGCTCCCACTGATTCCAAGGACAACTGAACTCATCCCATTTTTATATGCCTTTTGCAGGTCCTATCCCTTCTTCAAAACCTGATATAGTTCTATCTAATAAATACTCTGACACTCGGCAACTTGCAAAATGAGCTATTATAAGGGAAGTATATCTAACACCACAGCAGAGATAAGGTATGCATGTTGCCCAAGATCATGCATAAAATCTCCTGTAGCTCTGGAGAAGAAAACCCTTGAGAAGTAACTTGTGTTAGATATGGACTAATACATAACTCTCTAATGTTTATGATTTCCCCTGTTTTACTTATTGCTTTAATTTCTCTGTTTTACTCAAGACTTAATTTTGATTTTTAGCTACACTGGGATGTTTTGTCAGTAAAACCTTCTGTTCTATGGTTTTTACTTCTCCCAGTTTCTCCCTTCCAATGGCAAGGGCTCTGGCAGGTAGCTCCAGCACATGCAGTGATAGTTTTGTAAATGATCAGTGCTCCTCCCAGTATGTTCTACTGGATGTTATTGACACTAGCATGAAAGTATTACAGTTCATAATCCAACATTTCGGCACCAACACATCTCCACCACTCCTTTAAGCTGTAAAATGGGCCATATGAATTATAAACTAGGTTACCATCCCTTTCTTCCACCTTGACCACAAAGGTGGAAACTTCTCATGGAGAATATGGATACAGAAAGAGGGGATGATGAAACCTTATCCTTCTGTGGCTAGGCTCATCTGCCACTGCTGGAACTCAAGGCTGTGATCACTGCTGTGTAGGCAGAAATACTGGGCAAGGTCTTATTGCCAGTAGTACTGTAGTAGTTAAAAACAGAGTTTGGTACAGGCTAGTGACTGTAAGTCAATAAATATTACTCTGATTTTGAAGTCCATGTGGCTTAGCAATGGCTTCTACACTGGTTAGCAGTGTATTAGCTTCATTTTACGTGGTTTGGGTACATCTGCATTACATAACAGCCACTTTAATGCTTGTCATCTAGACATAACTTAATGCTGACATATTTGACTATATAATTAGGTATGTCAGCAAATTAACAGCAGTATACTAAGTACTATTCTTCATGAGAGCTAGTGAGCTTGGTGTGGGGTGTGTAAATGTTATTTTGGCCCAGTAAGGACAAGAAATTAGGTAAAATTAATATTCCCAAGAAGATTGTAGAGAATGCTTTGTACAAGAGCAAAGCACAATGTAGGTTTTATAAGACAGTATTTTGGAAGAACTTGGATTACTTATACACCCCAGCTTTCTCATGGCTGAAGCACACAGGAACCCATTGTACCTTCACATCTGGGATGTTATACTCTAGGAGGTGTGACTTTCAGAAATACCAGAGTTTTGCTAAGTGAAATAAATAAATTCAGCTGCAGTCTGGAGCTCTGAACTCGGGTGTGATGCTCTCCTTCTGCAGAACTTGTTTTTTATGGCAACTCTGATTATTAGCAATTTCCCAAAGGAGGGAAAACTTTGCAAGCCTGTAAGATGTCAGAATACTGTCAAATGGCCATTACTGTGAAAACAGAAGACTGTATCATGCTTTCATTCTTAAGGTTGAAAACTGAGGGGGCATAAATTTATTATCACGATTCTAGAATGTTTAAAGACAAGGATAAAATCACCTCCTACAAGAGGTCCGACTGGCAGCAGAGAGATTGGAAGAAGATGCTTCCTTCTAATGTCACGATTTTCCTCTTTCCTGTAGGAGATCAGTAGAAAAGGAAGAAAGAAGCAGAGAGAAGAACGCTGGGAGGGAGGTGTGATTTATTGCTCTGATGTCACAATTTCCTAGTTTATCAGCTATGTCTTAACCCCACTACTCAGGAGTACTTCAGAGGGCAGCAGAAGAGAGGAATGTGAAGAGCAGAGAGGGAGAAAGATGAAGAGGGGAAGGAATCGTAGAGAAGAAAGGAGGAATCGTAAACCTCTGAAGTTCCAAGTCAACTGATGTGCATTAAGAAACATTAGCTAAGCATTTTCAGCAGGAACAAATGTTCCTGTGACTGTAATAAAGAAAAAACCTCTCTTCAATCATAGACCTGTCAGTGATCCAAATCCTCAACCTTGTTCTACGTGTACTTTTGCTCAGGAAGTTCACCAGGCATTTAACTCTGGTAAGTTACTAATATGTCTTTTTAATACGTCTTGAATAGTGCACAGGACATTAAAAGATAGTACAGGGAGTCGGACACCAGACTTTCTTTCGGTTAAGTTAAATTAAATAATATCTGGTTTTATAAAATGTAGCAGTGATGTGGTGGGAATGTGGATGGATAGGCCTTTGATGTCCCTGATTCCTTGTGTCACTGTGGTCCTCACACAGGCTATGTCTGCATAGGAGCTGCTCACATATGATGGTATCCAAACGATTTTGATCTGTTACAGGAGAACAGGATTATGATACCTCTTTCTCTGGCCCTTTCTTCTCCCTGTGTAGAGAGTACAGGGAGCATAGTCTGTAACATATGTTTGCTGGCAATTCCTTGGGAAACTGCCCGCATGGAGGTGAGAGATGGATAGACTCTGTCCCTCCTGATGCGATACAACAGTGAGTAAAGTACACTTCAGAAAGGCAGTAAGGGTGTGTCGTACTTCTGGCTAGAAGGACTTAGGAATTTCTGTGATAGCTGTAGGATCCCTGAATGAAAGGTACTACCCAGAAGCAGACAGAGCTATCAATCTTCCAACAAGCTTCTTTCCTAAAGTAGAAGAGTCATCCCACTTCAGCTTGATGTCCCCCACCAAAGTTTATGAGAGAGCTCAAAGCTGATCGTGACACAATAGTTGCATATTATGGGACAAAAAAAATTGTGCTGTAGGTATACTAAAAATCTAAGCTCCAAATTTCCAAAAGAAAGCACACCAAATCTCAAATACATTATAAACATCTGTGAAGCTATAGAAGTGTCCTGGTTTATTACTTTCTCCACTAAAACACTTTATTGTTTTTAAATCCACCAAAATCTGATGACATTTTGACAGCGCAGATTAATTGTCTCACTTAAAGAAACACTGATCAGATCTGCTTTGCTGTAAAACTTTTTATTGGCTGCAGATTTCAAGCCATTCCAGTACCCTGGGCTGCTTTAGAAAAAGACTTGAGGCATTATAATTTTACAAGAAGTGAGTAACTGCATGGAGATTTTTTCAAAACAAATGCTTGCTTCTAAGCAATCAAAATGATGTTTTAGCTTCTCTAATGAGGTAGTTTCCTCAAGGAGCTGGAGAACACTGACACCAGATATTCCCTCTGTTGTTGCAGCAGATTTCTCTGGCATTGACAAACAGCCTATCTGAACTAGCAAGGTCAGATGGACAGTAACAGAACAAACAAGAGCATCAAACCCATAATAATCCAGTGCTCTTCGCATTCCTAAGCAGGAAGGTAGATGGATGAACAGACATTTTTGTCATTTGGAACATTTACATCTAGATCCTTGACAGATGCTTCGAGCAAACTGCTTGCTTTCTAGGCACCAGTATGTGCTTGGGCACCAAGATTATTTACACAGACAGGCTTCTAAATCCAAGAATCCAGGGACACAGTGTTATCCAAGAGCTTTGCTACATGCAGAGGAGGCAATAGAAAGTCGCAAAAGCCAAAACTGGCCCAGAGCACCTTCAGGAATGCACTAAATTCTGCTGGCTTTTAAAGGCCTCCAAAGGAGTGCTGCTAAAAGTCCCTCTTTACAAGGGCATGTGGTGATAGGACAAGGGGGAATGGATTTAAACTGAAAGAGGGTTGATTTGGGTTAGACATTAAGAAGAAATTCTTTACTGTGAGGATGCTGAGGCGCTGGCAAAAGGTTGTCCAGAGCAGCTGTGGCTGCCCCATCCCTGGCAGTGTTCAAGGCCAGGTTGGATGGGGCTTTGAGCAACTGGTCTTAGTGGAAGGTGTCCCTGCCCATGGCAGGGGCTTG